GGCGGGGCCCAGAGCCTGGGCCTCAGCGTGGACTCAGGTAAGCGGAGGAGGGAATGCAGTCTCCCCGCAGCCCCTCCAGCACTGTACCCGACTCTGGGCTGAGCCCCAGGCGCCCCGACTTCCCTTGGGAGACCCCCCCACCCCCTCCAGGACCATGTGGCTGAGAGATTGCATGCCATCATTTGTTTCTAGGGTAGATGTCTCTAGAAAGTAGCACCCTGCCCTCGGCCTGGCTGCTCGGTGGTACAGAGGACTCGGTTTGTTCTTTGAATAAAGTTCAGTGGAAAGATTCTAGCCTGCGCTGGTCAGAACTGTAGCCACTAACCACACGTGACTACTAAGCCTTTGCCCTGTGGCTAGGATGAACCATGATGTGCTGTCAGACATAAAACACTGGATTTCCAAAACTGCAAAAGAAAAATGATGTAAAACCTCACCTCGTTAACATTTTATACTGAGTTTGCATGTTCTAATATGTCCAGCAGTTGCCTATTGGTGATATTGGATTAAATAAAATATACCATTAAAAGGCTCCATTGTTTCTTCTTCCGGTGATGCCTGTGGCGCGAGAGCTTTGATCCAGAGTACCTGTGACTCCTGGGGTCTCTTGCATCAGCTTAACTGCTAAATTAAGTAGGACTTCTACACATGCAGAATTCCGACTGGTTTTGATGGTACTGCTAAAAACCTGGATGGCTGGCTTAGAGTTTAACTTCAACTGCGCAAATTCATTCAGATGAGAATTGAAGAGATCTGAGGGATTTGCCTTCTTTTTGATTTTTAGAGCAAATGACAAACGTTTAAAATAAGTCCAATTATTGACTAGTCCTTTGACCTTCCCCCCTTTCATCTGATGAAAGGTCTACTTCTTGTGTTTCACCTCCTGGAGATGAAGTGTGTAACTTTCACACTCACCATTCACCGCCTGTAGATGAAGTGTGTAGCTTTCACAAGAAAATGGTGCATTTCTCTTTTTTTTTTTCCTTCAAGCATCCTGCCCCCTCCTGCCACCCCATCTTTTATTTATTTATTTTCAGGTTTGCAGACTCAGGACCAAGACAAGGATCTGTATGGGTTTAGACAGACCACCAACTTTCCTGTAGGTCTCTGCGTAGTTCCATTGGTGACAGCCAGAGCTAACATGGAGTAGGTTTGTAATGGCTTGTGGTATTGGTTTGCAGGTCCTTGCTATTCTCAGTGAGCATCTTCTGGGCTGACCTGCTGGGCCACAGTTTCCCCTCCCCCTTCTGTCTTTAGACCAGCAGTGGGGACTCTGCTACTGCCTCCCACTTAGTGAGAGTGCAGGAAGGCAGTCTTCAGATGTCACTGTCTGGTGGGAAAACCAAAAACCGCATTTACAGAAATATTGTCTCCAATTAATCTCTTCTAAGTTACATTTAATGACTTGGCTAAGGCACTGGAAATGTCTGTGGTGAGACTGCTTAGCTGGCTGATGTACTATAAGCACTCTTGGAATGAAAGGAAGAAAATGAGATCTTTTGGAGTGAACATTTTTTACACTGACATGGATTTGCAACAACAACAACAACAAAAAATCCGTGTTAGAGAGGTACAAAGAAGCCAGACTTCCTCCTCAGGACCCAGCCTCAGCCATCATCTCACCACAACACCCACCGCAGCCTGAAGACACACTCTTTCCCATGAACTGTGAACACAGACGCCTCAGCCTGCATATGAGTGGCAAGAGGCTGATCTGGAGCCACCTGCTCAAGTCTCACTGAAATGCAGCTGTTATAAGACAGCTGTTTAAAACTCCAGAAATACATTGACCAAGGTGGAACTTCATAGTGTCTGGCAAGACAGTTATAATTGCACTGGATAGATTATATATAAACATGTATATATAGCATCACTTTTACAGGACATGTTTTGTCACAAAAAAAAAAATAAAACTTTGTTCCACCTTCTCTCCCACAAACCCCTCTCTGTGAAAATGCAAACAGGACACACACACACACACACACACACACACACACACACACACATGTCTCTATAGGAAGGAACTAGGAATCACAAGGGGAAGAGGTGTCCACTGAATCAGCAAAACAAACAATTTTTGTCTTAATCTCTATGGTTGTGGTTGCTAATGTTTGTGTTGGGATAAAGAAAGGTTCTCTACATGGGGCAGAGCTGGAGATGCTGAAGAAGAAATGAACATTATTGATGTCTATGTATTATGAGATTACTGAATTGTTCTATAAAAAATAAATGTCTCTGTTTTAATAGAATACTGTAATTGATAGTATTATGATCTGATGTCTGAAATCTTGTGCAGGGTGTGTGTGTGTGTGTGTGTTGTTGTTGTTGTTTGTCTGAATGACTACTGAGTTATGAACTCTTGTTAATACCTTTCCATCTCTCAGATCACCTAGGGATGAGAAGTTAGGTATGACTCCACCATCACCCCACACATCCCTGTTTTATGGGTGAGGAAACCATGCCTGGTAGAAGCTAAGAGTTCACCTGTTGACATTCAGGAAACTAGGAGCAGAGATGCCACACTGTAGACCATTTAGTCAGCTACAGATCCATCCCTTTGCAGGAAAGACTGACTGTTAGTTCTTAAATCCTAGACTCTAGACAACACAGCCTTTGGTTGAAGGTGGTGTTTTGTGTTTTTTTTATTTGTTTTTTGTTTTGTGAGACAGGGTTTAGCTGTGTGGCCCTGGAACTTACTCTGTAGACCAGGCTGACCTCAAACTCAGAGATCTGCCTGCCTCTGCTGGGATTAAAGGCATGCACCACCACTGCCCGGCCTTACGGTGGTTTTTGAGATATTGGTTATTTTATATCTTAAAAAGATAGGCTATGGAACCAAATGAAAAGATAGAAGGAGATTTCTTAATTGATAGAACTTTTTTTACTATTGTTGGTGCCAGAACTATTTGCACTCTTGCATTAAGGTGCCTAGGACATAATTCTGTATTATGCTCAAATTGTCCTTTGTACATGAATAAATCATAACTATTTTAGCATGTATCTTGGCCTTCATTGTAATGTGAGAGGCAAATACGATGCATCTTGGATAGCAGTCTGAGGAACAGTGAAAGGACCCTACTCATAGTGCAAGCCTGCCAGCTACCCACCTACTTCCTCTTGGAAAACTGTGAAGTAGACTGGATCAGCACAAAAATGATACCTTTGTTTTTCTGCAAGTGGAAAGTACTGTGTGTTCGTTCAGTTGTGATAACACATGAGTAATGTTCATTATTGGATACCAGGGACTGATCTAGAGGCTTGTGGATGGATTAGCTCAGTTAAGAGCCCAGCATCTTATATACCATCTCTTATAATGATCTCCTTCTCACTGTGAGGAGGCTGTGGCTCGTTACTCAATCATAAAGTGTCTAAGTAGCAGATTCAGGATAAAATCTGAATAAAACGGGCAAGCATGGAAGCTGAACTGTCGCATGCTGTGGTCACTGTGTCTTGAAACTTATTCTCAAACTTTTACTCTCTTTGCTGTTCAGCGGCAAGCCACTTTATCCTAGACCGCAGATGGTGAAGGAAGGGAAGGAAATAGAGAAGTAAAGGTGGAGACTTTGAAGAGCACACAGGCTCCCAGGGCTCCATCAAAAGACACTGCCTGTAGATTATCCAGACGGGTGCGGGTCTATTCTTCTCCAGGAAAGAGCAGCTGCTTTTTAATTCATTTCAGTATTTAACAGCCTTCGTTGCGCTCAAGTTCTTCACACCCAACCTAACTAAGACATGCAAGAGACTGAGGGTTGGACACTGAAGCAATAACTAAAATTAACTTTGGACTTCTCTGTGGATTTTTTAATCCATGTTCCACTGGCACAAATCACTGGTATATGCAAGCATAAATATGATTGATGCATGAAGTCCCAGTGTGTTTCTCAGTATCTGCCATTAACTATGCCATAGAAGAGGAAGGTGTCACAGTCTGTCCCTGGCAAGGCACCTCTTCTCTGTTTATGCCTCACTGCAACAGGCTCTTTACCTGTGTTCCACCTGCACTGGCACTCCTAAGGGCTGTGACCACAACCTACAGGAGCATTCCCCCAGCCACGAGGTTCTGATCGCTGAAACTGCCTAGGCTGCATCTGACCTGAATATTAGGTTCCTTGTGGAGAGACTCATTCACTGGAACTGGCCTTTGAGACAGTCTTGAACAGCCCGTCCAGACTGCTGAGCCAGCCCAGGCTCCAGCGACCTGGCAGGGACAGTGTTTCATTCTGCTTTATACCTTCCCAAAGTAGAAGTGTGAGGTGAACTAGAACTACTGTGTAATGAGAGCATTGACAAGAACTTTGGAATTGATAAGCCTAGCAGGCATGCTGTAAGGTCACCATGTCTCAATGTGAAGTAACATCCATGCTTGACTCATTAATATTCATAAAGGCCGCCAAAGTCCTAGTAGTTGGAGGAAGAAGTACAAGAAAATGAAGAATGACACGGTAAAAGGCAAGTATGGTATTTTTATGTCTTGTCACACCTGGCTGAGGGTCTGGGAAAATTTAGATTCGCCGCAGTCACATCTTTGGCACTATGTCCCGCTCACCCACAGCCTCCCGTCTGCACTTGGCCTGGGCAGAGGAAGAGGTGATGAAAAGGGGAGAGACTCCTGTCCACCACCAAGTAATCCTCCTGCCCATTGCCCTCTGGCTGAGAACGGATTCAGCCATCAAGAGGAACTCTATCTGCTCTGTTCCTTCAGTTGAAAAGGGGTTGCTATCCTATCTCATTTCCCCTTTGAAGTTCTATTTCAATGTGTGGCAAACTCTGAACATGATTGATTCCCTGCTTGGATGGGAGGTAGGCTAGAATTGGTGGGTGAGAGGACTTACAGGCTCCCAGACTAAAGGCTGCTCTAGCCGCTCACTCTGGGTGGTGGATGCTGTAATTTCTGTGCCATTTTGCATTGGAGGAAGGGACTCAATGTTATTTTAATTTCCATTTTGCTTAGAGTTGGAAGTGGTGTTTATGTAAATTCGATCATAGTAAACAAACAAGCTGTTTTTATTAAACACTCAGTGTTTTAGAGGAAGAAGAAAAATGGCTTTCAATACCAATGCCATTTCCATAGAATCCATTTTCAATACAATTCATAGAATGAG